TCTACATATTTCTCATTCTTTTTGTTTTATTTTGATAGTCCTTGTCCTGTGTTCACTATATTTAGTTTTGCTTCCCCTCTGTCTCGCTATGTCAGATCAGGTGCAGCTCTATCTCAGTCTTGTTGCGTATTCCCTTGTTACCCCCAATGTGTATGTTGTGTGAGTTTTCCTTTGTTTGTGGTTGTGTTGTCTGTTTGGCCAGTGTCAGGTTCAGGTATTTCATGTTTAATTTTTCCTGGTGTCCATGTCTGGGTTTCAGGTTTCATGCCTTGGGGTCTCATGTCATCACACTTTCAAATTTCACGTATTCAGGTTTTAGTTGTTTTTCCAGTTTAGGTTTTGTTTGGTTAGACTTTGTTTTGCTTTTGCTTTTTCCTTTGCATGGTTCAGACATCAATAAAGGATCAATTTTAATTTAGTTTCAGTCTCTGGTGTCTGCATTTGTGTCCACTCTACACTCCACATGGTCTGCCAGCTCAGATCCTGACATAGGGTCAATATTTTGTATGTCAGGAGAAGGATTTTAAATCAAAGTCTGGATTCAACAGGGAGCAAATAAAAAGAAACAAATATGTCTTCATTAGTTTGAAAGATGTGTCCGCCTCCTCCGAGAGCCAAAGCAAGATATGTATCATTTAGAATTAAATAAACCAATTTTAATCCAATTTTAAACTTCAACATATTTTAGTAATTTAGTTTAACATGTTTTAGCTTTTGTTTTATTTTATACAGTTTAATAGTACATCAGATGAGTCATTCATAGCTGCAGATGCTTTCCCTGAAAAATGGTGTTCACGACAAACATTGTCTTCCACAACATGTTGGATTAGATAATGCAGTTATTATTATTTTTCTGTAAAAATAATAACAACAAAAATTAACAACACTCTATAATCAAAATCAATTACTGCATTCAATCAAGAAACAAGGACACATCTATTATAATCTCGGGGTTGAAGGACTCCAATATCTTATTAACATTTTAAGAGTTACAATACAAACACCAAAGATATCAACTTTTTGTAATATGACAAGAAAAATCATTGTAGCATCATAGTTCAGAAATGTCACAAATCACATTTTAATCATCAGGAAAATCCACTACAGCGAGTAGACAAGAAAAGCCAGTGAGCAGATTAATCAGACATTTAAAATATCTACAATGTGAAGAGAATTTTAATTTAAACTAATCAACTTTGCAGTGTCGCCATAATCCAAAAGCCAAAGTCCAGCATAGAGCGGCTGAGTGAATGTGGTCTGGACTCTGTGGAGGAGAGTCATGGTTTCAGAGACGCTGTAGAAAGACAGAATACCTGCTCTGTGATCCAGGTACACTCCTACTCTGGAGGACCGAGGACCTGAGAGGACAGTTTGGACTTTGTTGTAAAAAAAAGGTGGAACTGTCTGCATCACAGCGTAATGCCCAGGATATGTCATTGAATCCAAATTTTCTTTCGCGTGAGCTCCCTGCTCTGCTGATATTCTTGTATGCGACTGCTACTAAAAGTAATCTCCCTCTCCACTCCACCTCCCATTAACAATGTCCAGTCAGACTCTCTCTACTCAGGATCTGAAACCACTCAGTGAATCTGTCTGGATGATCAGAATAAGACTGTTGTTCCATAAATGTTACTTTTCTGTTCCCCTCAGATAATAACAGATGTGTGTTTGCTGTGTTTGGATCCAGTGTGATTTCATGTGAATATATTAAGAATCCAGCTCTGGTCATGCACCTTTATGAGCAACATTCTATACTTCCATCATAGCTAAAAGAGCCCTCATTAATTTGATCATATTTGATTCATGTCCTGGGATTCATCTATTCCTGGGACAGATGACAGCGTGAAGGAATTTCCAAACCTGGGTGCATCACTTTGGGTAACTTATATCAAAAACAAAAAATGATTTCAAGCAGCCATCAACAGACCTTAGATTGCTGCAAAAAGCAGAAACAAATCTGTTTTCTGGTACCAGATAGAACAAAGCCTTTTCCTGACATTGCGTAGACACCACTTCAGAAATCCAGTTGCTGGCCTATGTGTTCTGCAAGGGCTAACCATGTGTCCTGTAATTTTTAAACAAAAGAAAAGGGTCAATAAATTAGGATTTAAAAGATTATCTGCAGTTGTTTGGTTAATGTCAAGATGTTTGTAATCCTGCAGCAGTGAGCTCCAACACTATGGCCTGATAGATTGAGTTTATTTACAAGAAATACTCACTTTTCTCCATAGTGCTCCGTTAAGTGTAAAATAAGTATTTGGACCCTCCATTTTTCATGTGTGGATATGTGCTCTCAAGACTGGCAACCAAAGATTCCCCCTCACGTGTACCTCACAGATGTTCTAAAGTTAAACAATTAAAGTTAAAACATTTTTAGTGTTAATTTTAGAATAATTGAATCTACTTGTGATGGCTGCAGTTACAGCCACACAGGGTTATTAATATCTACCGAACATCAGTGTTACATATATATAATCAAAGGAGCTTTCAAAGAAAAGCGTCTGGACTTCTTACATATATATAAAAATAAAAAATAAGCAAGTGTGAATGCACAGTTTGTGTACCCTGGACTGATCATTCGGACTATTAAGTCAGTGTCTGTGAAGTAATGACAGGCTGCTTTCACCCAGTGTCATAGAGTAGGTAGTTGTTGGGTCTGTGTTTCCACAAACCCCGCTAATTCTAGAGACTTATTCATCATGAAGAAAACAAGACAGTCGATCGATCGATTACTTGCGCAAGGGAGGCCTCGTCTGTGTCCAGCACGACAATGGTGGCCTCCTCTCGCTGCCTTTTATTGACAAACTTCAAACAATAGTTTACTAAACACCTCCCCTTGCAACCCCCTTTGGTTACAAAGACAAGGACTGTATGTAAATGTGTATGTGTGAACTTCTGTAAGAGTGTGTGTGTGTGTGTGTGTGTGTGTGTGTGTGTGTGTGTGTGTGTGTGTGTGTGTGTGTGTGTGTGTGTGTGTGTGTGTCAGACCTCCTGCTGACCAAAGGGTCGTAAACGCAGGAAGCTTACATCAAACGAAGCAGATCTTCCAGATAGGATGTATCTGCAATAAAACATTACAGCCCCCACCAGAACCTCGAGAATCTGGCGGGAAGGACAGTGGAATTTCTTTCATCAGAGTTAAAACACTGTACAAATGGTAAACATAAAAATGACAAACATTTAACAATTTAACTCTAACAGTAGCACTGCCTCCATCTGTGAAGAGCAGATCAGCTGTATACTGAGCAGTGTCCGAGTGCAGCCAACATTCTCAGCACCACCAGGTTAACCCTTTAACACCTTAGCCTTTTGTTTTGACTAAGAACCAAAAGGCTTAATAAGGCTAAATGATATTCAGGAGTCAGTAATTTTTTTTGTTGTTGTTGTTGTTTTAAAAAAAAAAAAGATTATACTTTGGTTACATGTAAACTTATGATGGCAGACCTTAAAGCTACCGAGATCTCCAAGTGAGGATCGAAGATGGTGGCTAAATATTGGTTGTGGCAGTGTTGCCATCACGTTTGTATTAGTAGCAAGCAAGCTAAGTGCAGGGATGCACGTGCCCTTTGCGCTGTCTAATGATCGAGGGGAAAAAGGGGGTCAAGGTAACCTTAAAAAATCTAGCCTTAAAAAATCTTAATGGGACAAATTATCATTTCCTTTATATTTTAAAATGAAAAGATGTTGTTATCAACATAAAGGTAATTTAGGTTAAATTAAATAATGACATTAAATAATAAAATAATTTATTATTAAATAATTAAATAGTTTACATAGACTGTGTTCCTTTTTTTAATTTTAATTTTTTACCTTTTTCCCACAAATGCAACACCCTATCTCATACTTTCTTTGTTCTGTATACAGTGATCTCTAAACAGTTTGTCAAACAGAGCAACATCAGCCTCATTCCAAATTATAGCTTTAAACGATGATATCAAGCATTTTTAAGTAGAAATAACTTTCATCATCACAACCCAGCTGGTGTTATCTGTTAAAATACCTTTAATGAGTAGGTAAAGTTCTAAATTAAACCAATAAGTTGCATAATCAATCATCATGATTTTTTTAACTATTAGAATTTACTTTTTACTTACCATGTTTTATTTCATAGTAGTGGAGAAGTCCAGTGATATCTGATCAGGTCACAGTCTAATTGAAAAAGGCAGTTTGTGATTAATGATGTGGTTTCTTCTGAGGCTTATTTTCAACCCAAACATTTGGGTAAAATTTTGACCCAATATTTTATCAAAGCTGCCCAACCTATGACCCAACAGAATTAGTCAAGCTGTGGAGTGAATTGAAGAACCCGGCACATTACCAACCCAACTCTTGAGTCATGACTTTTGAACCAATATTTGGTCACAATAAGCCAACTTACGAACCTACAGCTTTTACCCAGCAGTTGAGTTAGGAATATAACCCAGCATTTTTAAGAGTGTATAAATACTCCTAATAGAGCTCTCAGGTCAGGAGACCAGGCATTTGCGATTGCTGCGCCCAAACTTTGGAACAGTCTCCCTCTTCAGACTAGGATCTCTCCAACACTCGACATTTTAAAAGCCTGTCTGACAACAAATTTTTACTCTTTAGCTTTTAATTGTGTGTGTTTGTTCTACTTTTTTACTTTTTTACTATGCACAGCACTTTTGTCAGCCTGTGTTGTTTTTAAATGTCCTTATAATAAATTGGTTGATTGATTGATTGATTGATTGATTGATTGATTGATTGATTGATTAAACCTAACCCTGACCTGTCTCCCCAATGTGACGTTTGTGTAATGTATGTATGGATGGAAGTGGTCCAGTTTCACTGAAGGCAACTGCAAGCAAGAAATAAAAGCTCATTCATTCACCTGCAACCCTAGATTGCTCAGGGTGGCAGAGCAATAGAAACAAAGAGAAAGAAAAAAAAAAGTTTATCACATTGGACCTCATATTGAGAGCGCCAGAGAACAAATGCAAGTTCAAGACTTTGAATGAAGTCCAGTTGTTGTATCTGCTTCATGTTTCCTGGAGTAACAAGGGAACAGGTGTCAAAACCATTTAACGGAATGAGGGAAACAAGAGATTAGACTCTCGACGTGACTCTGTGGATGCGGTATGGTGGTTGATTCTTATCTAGCTGGGATACTGACAATCACTGTTACATGAGATTTTAGACTTCGTGAGGTATCTGCAAGAACTGGTAGGTATATTTTAGTTTTGCTTATTTATTTAGACATAGGCTCCACATGCTAAAGGCAGTATGGAGATGTAATCAAATGCCATCGACTGAAAAGGCAGATAGAGTTGCAAAGGAGGCCGTAAAACATGGGGTGGTTGACATGGCTGTTAGTTTTGGCCAAGCAGAGATAAGGAGTATGGTAAGGCAAGATATGAGAGCAAGATGGCAAAAGCAGTGGGAGGAGGAAAGGAAGGGACGATGGTTGTATAAGATTCAAAGGAGGGAGGAATGAGAAACGCAGGACGGACTAGGAGGGAGGAGGTGATCATATCCAGACTGAGATTTGGACATACTGGCTTGAATAATACATTATTCATGATAGGGAAACATAGTACCGGAAAATGTGATTACTGTGGGGTAGAGGAAACTGTAGAACATGTCATGTTGCAGTGTCAGAGGTATCAGGTTGAGAGGAGACAATTGATTCAAAATCTCAGTAACCTACAAATCGAACTGGGTCTTGTTGATTTGTTGCGAAAGGAATCGGGAAGTAAAAGTTATCAGGCCTTATTTCAGTTTTTAAAAGAGGGGGACGTGTTTGGAAGGATTTGAGGATTTATTTATTTATTTTTTGAGCGTCGTTCCAGACCATACTCCATACCAGTTGGTGGCGGTAATGCACCTTTCAGTTGTTTGCTAACTGCCAATACAAATGTAAGAAAGAAGAATCAAATGCCATCTACTCTGAATTATCAGGCTGGAACGCCGTAAGTTACTTTATATGACAGTTTATACAGATAACTTTGGATATTAATGTATATTTTGCTAACATGAATGTTTTAGTGAGAGTAATGCACTTTATTGATGTAAATATGCTTCTGCCTGTTGAGATGGAGTTTATTTTCTGTCATTTCAGTTTTCACCACATGTTCATGGAGACAATTAAACAAGCTGCAACTAAACTCCAGGGTCTTCATTTGTGGTTTAACTCGGTGTCCCCAACATCCTTGTTGAAAACACTACAGTAGTCGATAAAATATGTGTTATTTATAGCAGGTGAAACTGTCCAAAGTACACCAATTTTATTGATCATAAACAGATTAAGGGACATTAAACTTCCAGAAACATCCAGCATATAAACCAAAACAACCATTAGATTGGTTGAGTGTGGTGAGTAAAGCATGCATTTCTGAGCAAATAAAATATTTCCTGTATCATTTTGTTACCATAGTTTGATGTATAAATGAGGAAGTCTGATAAAAAAATCTCTCTTAAAAATCATAATAAAAGATATTTAATGATATCCAAAGGTATTCAGCTTACTAAAAACAAACCAATCAAACTCCAGTGTATTGCTACATCTAATTAATTTAAGACTGATAAAGAATGCTGAATAGGAGTAGAAGTATATTTTAAACTTATAATTCTAGATTATAATGAAAAATTAAGGTTTATACTTATGCAAGAAATGTAGCGACACGTTTATTTACAGCACTATATTTTTTAGACACAAACTTTCAAACAGAAGTTCTAACATAAACCTACCCACTCTGTCTATTTCAATTTAATGAACTCTGCTGTGTCTCCTCGCTCAAAAAGCATAAGTCCAGCATAGAGCGGCTGAGTGAATGTGGTCTGGATTCTGTGGAGGAGAGTCATGGTTTCAGAAACGCTGTAGAAAGACAGAATACCTGCTCTATTATCCAAGTACACTCCTAATGTGGAAGCCTCGGGACCTGAGAGCTCAGTTTGGACTTTGTTGTAGAAAAATTTACAACTCTTGCTATCACAACTTAATGCCCAAGATTTGTAATTTAACCCAAATACACAATCATTTAGCCTCCCTGCTCTGCTGATATTCTTGTATGAAACTGCTACATAAACTTTTCCTCTCCACTTCACCTCCCAGTAACAACGTCCAGTCAGACTCTCTTTACTCAGGACCTGCCAACAAGGAAGAAATCTGTCTGGATGATCAGAATAAGACTGTTGTTGTTCCTTAAATGTTGCTTTTCTGTTCCTCTCAGACAATAACAGATGTGTGTTTGCTGTATTTGGATCCAGTGTGATTGCACATGAATATTTTAAGAATTCATCTCTTGTCTTTGGCTCTGGTTGTGGTGGTGACAGTAAAACATCCACCATAGTCACCACCCGTGAGATGTTTGTTAATTCCTCTCTCAGAATGTCCTGTAGTTTATCTCTGGTCTCTGACACAGCTGCTGTCACATCCTCAAAGTAGCTCAGAGGATGAATATTGATGCTGGATGAGTGTGTAGACTCACTGAGTGCTGACAGTGAGGGGTAGTTGTGTAGAAACTGGTTGTGATCCTCTGTGTGTGAGAGCTGCTCCAGCTCGCCGTCTTTCCTCTTCAGCTCAGCGATCTCCTGCTCCAGCTTCTCCTGAAGCTCTTTGACTCGACTCACTTCAGTTTCCTGCTGGGATCTGACCTGCTGCTTCACATCAGAGCTTCTTTTCTGGAGGAGACGGATCAGCTCAGTGAACATCTTCTCACTGTCCTCCACTGCTTTATCAGCAGAGCCATTGATGGCCTCCACCTCCTGTTGAAGCAGCTTCACATCTTTCTCTCGCTCCTGGATTCTCTGCTGGATGTTTAGTCGTCTCACCTCAAGCTCCTTCTGCTTCTCAGTCCTTTCTGCTGCAGCTGGGACTGTTTCATGGCCTTTATGTTCATCCATCAAGCAGAGATAACAGATACTCTGCTGATCAGTACGACAGAAAATCTTCATCACCTCATCATGACGAGAGCAGATGTTCTCCTGGAGCTTCTTGGAGGGGGCCACCAGCTTGTGTTTCTTTAATGGAGCTGCATCATAGTGAGGTTGGAGGTGTTTCTCACAGTAAGAGGCCAGACAGACTAAACAGGACTTGATGGCTTTCAGCTTCCTCCCAGTGCAGACATCACAGGCCACATCTTCAGGTCCAGCATAGCAGTGATCAGCTGGAGCAGCTTGGAGTCCAGTCTTCTTCAGCTGCTCCACTAAAGCTGCTAACATGGTGTTTTTCTCCAGGACAGGCTTTGGAATGAAAGCTTTCCTGCAGTGGTGGCAGCTGTGGATTTTCTTGTTTTTCTCCTCTTCATCCCAGAAACCTTTAATACAGTTCATGCAGTAGTTGTGTCCACAGGGAATAGTTACTGGATCCTTTAGTAGATCCAAACAGAGTGAACAAGATAATCTTTTGAATCTTGCTGATTTCCTCTCTGCGCCATTTCACCTCTCAGCAACAATGATTGGCTGTAGAATAGAGTGGATACCCAGCTGTGTGCAGGAAAAAGCACAGTTTGAACTTTGGAAGCAGCTTGTCCCTCTTATAAACTTTATAATCTGTACTTTGAAAGTTTTAAGCCATAAAAGTTTAACATGTGATCATACAGGATCACAGGAGACTAAATTGCTTTGTATGAACTTTGAGTAGAGTTTTTTTGTCCATGCAATGTCTTTACAATTAGATGTGCTTTATTTAGGTCAAAATAAAATTTCTGTGTTTGTGTTGCAGCCAAAGTATGACAAACAACATAGCTCAATGAAAAAAAATACAACACTTGTCATGGCTCCGTAGGGCATTGTACCCATCCCCTCTCCTTTTGCTTTCCTTGTTCTTGGTCCCTTGCATTTGAATTTGAATTTCTCTCCAGGTCTCAGGTGTTCGTGTGACTGGGGTTTCCAGCAGGCATGGTCAGGAGCTGCAGTTTTATTACGTCTGAGTGTCCTCACCTCATTTCCTAAAGTACTTATGGACAGGCTTTTTTTCTCCTTTCATCACCAAATTATTTAGTTAGCTATGAGTAGTAATATCTAAGTCTAAATGTCTAGTATGTATTTGTGTGTGATTGCCTTGTATTTTGGAGAAAGTCCTCAGTGTGCTGAACTCCACTTGCCCTGTGTGGCGGAGGTGTGGTCCCGGGCGCGTCTGCAGGGGAGGAGTGGTGCAGTGGGCTCAACGGGGCGGTGCTGGAGATGCCGGTGAGAACAGCTGATGGCGATTTGGACTGATAATGGTTTCCTTCCCTTTTTATAGGGAGACGGAGAGGAGCGGAGGGAGAGGGAAATCAGCTGAGACCGACAGCTGTCAGACTGTGTTCATATCATAACCTGGGAAAACTATAAATAAATGTGGAAGCTGGTGATAAAGACCTGTGTGTGTGTGTACCTGTGTATAGTGCATTTCACAAGTGGTGCCGAAACCCAGTGTCCGGCCGGCGTGGGGATGTCCGACCCACAGGCTGCGCCGCCCGCCCAGCCTTTGCAGTTTCTGGCGCAGATGCTGGCAGAGATGGCGAAGATGGGCCAAGACCAAGCGGCGGCCCAGCGGGCTCACCTGGCTGCGCTGCAGGAGCAGACGGACCGGCAGACTCTGGTTCTGGAGCGGCTGGTTGGAGCCGCTGCCCCGCCGAAGCCTCCGCCGCTGTCGGTGGCGATGCCCCGGATGGGGAACGGGGATGACCCCCAGGTTTTCCTGGAGACTTTTCGTGCCACGGCGGAGGCCTGCCAGTGGCCGCAGGGGGAGTGGGCTCCACGTTTGCTTCCTCTGCTGTCGGGGGAGGCTCAGACGGCGGCCCTGAGCCTGCCGCCGACCTCGAGGAGCAGCTTCCAGGACGTGAGCCGGGCGGTGGTGGACAGGTTGGGGCTCACCGCTGAGGATCATCGCCGGCGGTTCCGGGCCTGTCGGCTAGCCGCGGCGGATTGGCTGTTTGCTTGGGCCCGGCAGCTGCACGACGCGGCGGTGCGCTGGCTGCAGCCGGGATCGTCAGAGGGCGAGACGCTGCTGGTGGACAAGGTGGTGCTGGAGCAGTTCGTGGATGGGCTGCCTGCGGAGACGGCGAGATGGGTCAGGTGCCACCGTCCCGCGAGTCTGGAGGTGGTGGTAACGTTGGCGGAGGACCACCTTGCCGCTAGAGCGGGGGAGCCCGGGGACAGCGGCCGGAGGCCGAGCAAACAAGCCCCAGTGCCGGCACCGAGGCGCCGGGCACCGAGCCCCACTAATCCTTTGCTGCGTTTGTGCCTTCCCGGGGATCAGACATGAGCGGTGCCGCCCCTGAGCCACGGAGAGCAGCACAGACGCCGGGGCAGGAGTGCTAGAACTGCGGGCAACTGGGACACCTGAGGAGGGACTGTCCTCTGATGGAAGTGGGGCAGGTGTTCCGGGTTGCCGGTGCCCCAGCACCCTCTCCTGGTCCAGGAGGGACATACAACATTCCGGTAAGGACTCGAGGGGTATACGCCATGCTTTGGTGGACACGGGCTGCACGCAGACCCTCGTGCACCAAGGCTTGGTCTGCCCCGGGGCATTGCTGGAGGCAGAATGGGTGGAGGTGAAGTGTGTTCATGGTGATGTTCAAAGGTATCCCATAGTTCCGCTGTTATTAAAGTATAAGGGCAAAACACATAGAGTAACGGCTGCGGTTAGCCCGCGCCTGTCGCATCCCCTGATTCTGGGCACGAATTGGCCGGGGTTTCATCATCTGTTGGGACAGTATGCGGGAATGCGATCACGACCGTTAGTAGCATGTAGTGTCTGCGCGGCGCTCAGCGGTGACGCGGGTCGTCCGACACTGACTCCGGGGAGGGGGAGACGGCGGGTCCTTCATGGGAAGCCCCGCCGGCTCCAGAGGTTTCCCCCACGGGTGATTTCCCACTGGAGCAGTCTCGTGATGACACCCTACGCTCACCAGGTGATTGAGATTGATGGTCACGTGGTGCGCCCTGAAGCCGTGCGGACCTACCCGCGCTTCATTTTATCAAAAGGCTATATCGAGTGAGTCGTGACACTCGCACGGAGGAGACTCACACCCAGCTGTTGGTGCCGCAGGGCCGCCGGGAAACGATTTTCCAGGCGGCTCATTATAACCCCATGGCAGGGCATATGGGATACGAAAAAAACTTTTATTGGCCGGGCATCCGAGCGTATGTGCGCCGCTGGTGCGCGTCCTGCCCGGACTGCCAACTTGTTAATCAGCCGGCCATACCAAAAGCGCCTTTGCGCCCGCTCCCACTCATAGAGGTTCCGTTTGAGCGCATTGGTATGGACCTCATCGGGCCATTTCATCGGAGTGCACGCGGCTACCGCTTTGTATTAGTCCTGGTGGATTATGCAACGCGGTACCTGGAAGCAGTCCCGCTGCGCACCATCTCTGCAAAGAGTGTGGTGCAGGCACTGTTTCAGGTCATCTCCCGAGTCGGAATCCCGAAAGAGATACTGACTGACCAGGGCACGTCGTTTATGTCTCGTACACTGCGGGAACTGTACGAATTACTGGGCATTAAATCTATTAGGACCAGCGTCTACCACCCTCAGACGGATGGGCTGGTGGAGCGGCTGAATAAAACTTTAAAGTCCATGATTCGTATGTTCATTAACGAGGATGAACGCAATTGGGATCGCTGGCTAGACCCTCTGTTATTTGCAGTGCGGGAGGTGCCCCAGGCCTCCACGGGATTTTCTCCCTTTGAATTGCTGTTCGGCCGGAAGCCGCGTGGGGTGCTTGACCTGATTAAAGAAAGCTGGGAGGACGGTCCGAGCCCCGCCAAGAATGAGATTCAGTACGTGTTGGACCTGAGAGCGAAACTCCACACTTTGGGGAGGTTGTCACGGGAGAATTTGCTCCAGGCTCAACAGCGTCAGCAACGCCTGTACGACAGAGGGGCTAGACTCAGGCAATTTTCACCGGGAGACAAAGTGCTTGTATTACTCCCTTCTTCTAGCTCAAAGTTGCTCGCCAAGGACCCTTTGTGGTCACATGGCGAGTCGGGGACGTTGACTATGAGGTTGCTCGGTCGGACAGGGAGGGGCCACGCAGATTTATCACCTCAATCTCCTTAAAGAGTGGAGAGAGGTTGAAACTGCTTCTCTGGTAAGCCTGGTTAAGGAGAGAGATGAGTTGGGGCCGGAGGTGCCAAATTCCATCATCCCCGCCTCCCTCCCTTGTGATGACCATCTCACACAGGCCCAGAGAGCGGACGTTGTCGCGTTACAACAGCGGTTTGCAGATGTGTTCTCCCCCTGCCCGGCTGAACATCTGTCATTGAGCATCATTTTGTAACGCAGCCTGGCGTGACGGTGCGTTCACGGCCCTACAGGCTTCCTGAGCATAAACGGCAAATCGTTCAGAGGGAATTGGCTGAAATGCTGAAAATGGGAGTGATAGAAGAGTCGCACAGCGCCTGGTGTAGCCCCATCGTTCTTGTGGTAAAGAAGGATGGGTCTATACGGTTCTGTGTCGACTATCGCAAGGTGAATGAAGTGTCACGTTTTGATGCTTATCCCATGCCCCGGGTCGACGAGCTCCTGGAGCGGCTGGGCACGGCCCGTTTTTTCACGACACTGGATTTAACCAAGGGCTACTGGCAGATTCCCTTGTCTGCCGAGTCCAGGGAGAAAACGGCCTTCTCCACTCCGTACGGTTTGTACCAATTCGTTACGCTTCCGTTCGGCTTGTTCGGAGCCCCTGCCACCTTTCAGCGCCTCATGGACCGGGTGCTGCGTCCGCACGCTGCATATGCTGCTGCCTACCTGGATGACGTGATCATCCACAGCGACACCTGGGCGGAGCATGTGCAGTGGGTGGCCGCGGTCCTGGAGTCCCTGAGGAGGGCGGGGCTCACGGCCAACCCAAAGAAGTGTGCAGTTGGACGGAGGGAGGTACAGTATCTGGGGTACCACTTGGGGGCGGGCAGGTGCGTCCACAGGTGGAGAAGACGGCGGCTATAGCATTCTGCCCGCGCCCCAAGACTAAAAAGGAGGTGAGACGGTTTCTGGGACTGGCAGGTTACTATCGCCGTTTGTGCCAGGGTTTGCGCAGCTGACCAGCCCCTTGACCGATCTCACCCGAAAGGGTGCTCCGGATCTGGTTCAGTGGACGGGGCCGTGCCAGGCGGCGTTTGTGCAGGTGAAAAAGTCTCTCTGTGGGGAGCCGCTGCTTCACACTCCTTCCCTTTTGTTCTGCAGACCGACGCCTCAAACAGGGGGCTGGGGGCCGTTTTGTCCCAGCAGGTAAGGGGGCCGACCGTCCCGTTCTTTACATCAGCCGGAAGCTGGCAGAGCGTGAAAGACCGTACAGCACTGTGGAGAAGGAGTGCTTGGATATCCGGTGGGCGGTCGACTCCCTTCGCTATTACCTCCTGGGGCGCTCATTCACCCTCTGCTCGGACCACGCCCCGCTGCAGTGGCTCCACCGCATGAAGGATGCCAACGCCCGGATCACCTGATGGTATCTGGCTTTACAGCCCTTTAAGTTCAAGGTGGTCCATAGGCCGGGGGCGCAGATGGCGGTGGCCGATTTCCTCTCTCGCTTGCGGGGGGGGGGGGGGGGGGGGGGAGTAGGTACGGCCAGACGGCTCCCCGGCGGTGGGGGTGTGTGGCGGAGGTGTGGTCCCGGGCGCAGCTGCAGGGAGGAGTGGTGCAGTGGGCTCAACGGGGTGGTGCTGGAGATGCCGGTGAGAACAGCTGATGGCGATTTGGACTGTTAATGGTTTCCTTCCCTTTTATAGGGAGATGGAGAGGAGCGGAGGGAGACCTAGCCCGTCAGAGCAGAATGAGCTCCAGGCCCTCACTATAGCACTCAAGAGGCGATTTGGGCAGTGGCACTCCACTGATCAGAGCAGGGAGCAGCTGACCAACTGGAGCCGTCGGCCGGGGGAGAGCCTGGCACCTTTGCAGCGGATGTGTTGCTGTATGCTCGTCGTGGCTACCCGGAGTTCCCAGCAGCCAGTGAGGAGCTTAGCCTGCATGCTTTTCTGCAAGGACCTTTTCCAGAGTGACTTTTTCGAGAAACTCTCCGTGAGGCGCTCCATGAGGCTGAAAGGGCCGAGCTGGTGCTGGCCTCGCGGCCTAACCAGCAGGTGTCCCCCCAAACTACACCCAACTCAGAGCCGCAGACTGCGACAGGGAGGAGGAAGTCACGAAGATATGCCAGCTGCAGCCCTCAGTGCCCTGAAGTTGTCCCTGTCGACCGACCGACCGCTGCTGCCGGTGCGATAAGCCTGGCCACGTGGCGCGCGACTACCTGGCGCCCGCCCCGAAGACCAGAACTATGTGGCCTCAGGGAAACGAGAGGGGGAATGGTGCAGTGCGGGGACCACCGCTCCAGCTTCCTGCCCCCCTCCAGGAATGATGCACGGTGGTGGGCCTAGTTGGGCACCTCAAGGGACTCTACCTGAGCTGCTGTG